ACCGTGAAAAGGGTCTCTTCCAGCTTTTCAAGTGCTCTCCAAACTCTCATGTGCACCAATAATGTATTAGAGCCACGCTAAGTGTGAACCAATAGCAACAGAGATTGGAACTAATTATACAAAGAGATTGGAAATACTGTTTACAAGGAAGAAACAACTTTTATTTGAAATGATGAAATCAAAATTCTCTTGTTCATTGTATGCATACAAGTGGTAAATTAGACAAACTCTGCTCTGTAGTCAAGACTTTATCAATGGTTTGTGGAGCTAGAAAACCCCCACAAAAAACCTTTCCTACTTTTACATGTGTGGGAGGATGGCAGTGACATCTAGATATATATGCCTCTGTGTTGGGAGCATGCTCCCTTTAAATTTTCCTATATCAGTATAGGTAAAGTGCTTGAAATGCAAAGTTTGTATGTAGTTGGAAAACGTTGAAGAGATGTTGTCTTGGTTTCAACTTAACACTGACATTAATCTTGTTTTCCAGATGAGATTTTAACAGAAAACCGAGTGGTCCATGGCCTCTGCAATCAGCATGTAGCGGTTATCCAGGTAAGCTTACTGATTAATAATAATTCTTGATTAATTTAATCAAATAGGTCTGGGTTGCACTAGAGCCAATTTTGTTTTTATAAGTAATAAATCTGTCAACACATAGCATAAAATAAGTGTGACCCCCAGTTTAAAACACTTGCCAATTTTTTGTGGATTGCCAAATTTTCGCCAATCTTCAAAGAAGCCGAAGTGCTGCCTCAGAGGCTTCCAAATTTTGGCAAAGCAAGCAATTTTGTTTTTTAACCATTTAACTGTCATATTTTTTAAAACATGTCTGGATAAAAATAATTAGGGCGAGAGAATAACTTTGACAGCTAGTCCAGTTTGGCGCGTGTTATGGCAGGACAAAATCATTTTTTATCTGGTCCATCTGGAATATGAGCTGCATTTTTATTCAGATTCTTATGACTCGTACCCTGGATCAGCAATTTGAAGCGATAGCTTCAGCAAGACAATCTTCTTCGATCACAAGTGGCGCAAGTGTCATGAATATCATGAATATGTCTTGATTGCTCTTTCTGGTGGTATTAACACAAATGTATACAAGTTGTTTATTTCTTCGTCATGGTAGCATTAAGCTATCATATTTGTAGATTGAGCCAATTGAGAAATGGTATCGCTGTCTATGACCTTTTTTTTTCCTCCCTGATTTTTTTCGGAAGAATTGTCGAGAGAAAATGAGATGGAATTATTTATCATGAGAATTATATTTAAATTGTAGTTTACATTGTTGGTATCTTTTCTTTACGTTTATCATTTGGTTGATGAAAATAAAATGAATAAATAAAAACATGGAAGCAAACTCCATGCCATTCCTCGTTTTCCAGCGGGATCATTTGTGGTCTACATTGGGGATAATTTGAGGTTTGAGATCATTTCCGGTCCAATTTGGGGATCATTTGCGGTCGGGGATCATTTGCAGTGCTGTACAGTAATGAGGCACTCTTGGAATTATTAAAACATTTCATTTTTTTTTTATTGTCAATTTCAGTAGGTTAAGATGTTCAAAGAACTTATTTTTACAAGTGAATTTATAATGCTCAGTGTATGTTTTTTTTGGTCTGGATGATAGTCCACTTAAGCTCTCAATCTTGATTTGATGATGTTGATTTTAGTCAGGCTGGCGACTCCCATTGCAAGTTAGTCTCCAAAATTCTAGTTGCCATGGCGACTAAAATGGTTGCAACTTGGAGGGTTGTTTATTATTATTCGGTTTTGTTTTTGCAGAACTTTTGGTCTTGTTTGATTTTGTGAACCTTGACATAACTCAATCAATATAGATACTGTTACTGTATACTTAAATGGCTTTACTTCATAACTTGTTATTGCTTATGGAAATGTGGTATTTCAGAGTTATCAACCATTCG